AAAAAAGCCATGAATTCTATGTGCAGTATTCCCCTAGCGCTGGAGTTTCTCCCGTTCTCCTTGATTGGTAAACCTGGTCTTGGCTTGCTGGCTGTTCGTGCTGATCTTCTGGGGAGGGGCCTGTTGCCGTGGTTCCCAAATGTCTTTGCCGGAGGCGGAATTGCCCCGCCCTTGTGTGTCTGGGCTAAGCAAGCTGCTCGGGTTTGCTCTCAGGAGCTTTTGTTCCCTGCAAGCTCTCGGTATAGCCTTGGAAGACCAGGGTGAAAATGGTGGCCTCCCAATCTCCGCCCGGAGGAGCTGAGAACTCGGGGCCCCACTCCTCAGTGCGCCCCCAGAGAAAAGCAGTTACTCCCGTCTCCCCGGTCTCCGGCCGCACTCCGCGCTCACCCGGCCTGTGACCAAGTGTTTCTATGTCTGGCACCCGATCCGTGTGGAGTCTCCAAACCCAGCAGATCCCTGCGGTGCGCTGCCGCGCCGCTCCTCCCGGGGGAGGAAGGGGAGTCTCCCCGGATCTGCCACTTGTTGGGTCCCCGCTGGAGGAGCAGTGGCCCGACTGGGCCGCGGATCACAGTTTATGGCCACCCCGAGCTGAGAGCCCGCGCCTCAGCTCCGTCTCTGCCGCGGGCTTCCCCGCTCCGATACCCGGGAGCTCTGCCGCACTCAGGCACCCCCGGTCTTTCTGTGACCCCGAGGGTCCTGAGACCACACTGTCCCGCGAGGGCTCCACCCCCCACTTAGCCACTGGAGCGACGTCCCTCAGCGGAGCCGGCTTCTAAAAGTTCCAATTTTGTGCTCCGCGGCTCTATCACTTGCCAGAAGCGGCCGACGGAGGCCCCCTCCCCCGCCGTCTAGCCTCCCGAATATCGCCTCGGATTCACTTCTCCGCATTCCTACCTTCCAGAAAGTGGTCACTTTTCTGTTCAGAGTGTTGTTACTATTCTCTTCGATCTCTTGTTGAGTTCGTCGGTGTTCAGAATGGTTTGATCCCTATCCAGCTGAATTCCTGAGACCAGACGAAATCCAGGTCTCCTACTCCTCCACCATCTTGCTCCGCCCCCCCGAGTAATAGCCTTTCTTAAAGCCAAAGTCTCTGGAGAAAATTGGTTTGTCCAGAGCATTATTCTCTTGGTTCCTGGCCTTGTCCACAGACGCCTCCCCACCCCGCCACCTCCTCCAATGTCTATTACAGGCGGTCAGACAGATATTCTGGAGGCTCCACAGGTGACCATTCTGTGCTGAGATGATCAACAACAGAAAATTTTCATGGGGAATGAAAAAAAATCACAACCACATCTACTCAAAGTTGGGACTGAGGGTCAGGAAGCTAGCCATTTGCCCTGGGGGGCAGCATAAGACAGGCAAAGAGGGGAAACTGCCATTTTTATCACTGTCTTCTTCCTAGGAAAACGTGGCCCAGCACAAGGAACAGGGGTGGGAAGGGAAGGAAATGAAACCAAACCGAAACACCACAGCTTTGTACTTGCTTGCCCCTTGGCTCAGGTTAAGTCCTATAGCTTAGAAGGTCTCTTTCTAGGTGACTGGGAGCCCGTAGTACCACCTACAGAGAGGAGGAAGGCAAAACTACAGCCATAAAATCACACACTTCTATGGCCGTGAGTATAAATATAAACAGATTTACACGTACATGCATACGAAGATTGAAAAGGCAGTTTCTGACCTCCCTGATGTGACGTACTTACTTTTGAACTGCCGTGTGGGGTTTCCCGGTCGCTGCCGACGCTGGCCCGCCAACAGTGCTAGAAGGCTCTTGGTTTTCTGGAGCTGGGTTTTCAGGTCGGAATTTCCTTCGAATGGGCTTTGATGGAGGCTGAGAATATGGTATGTCCTGTGGATTAAATACAAAACAATAAAAACCAAAAGTTAAAAACTGAAATGCTCCCCCATCATGCCCATGTGCTCATGTTCCTCCTAGGCCCATTCCCAGGTCAGGTGCACACTTTGTTCAAACCCCACACCCAAGGATATAAAGCTGAGTCATGGCTTCACGAGAATGGGGGAGGGGGGAAAGGGGGGCGGGGACATGGGCATCAGATTCTAGGGGCCTTTCTTTTTTCCTTTCCCTGCTTGCAGCCTATTACCGCTTTCTGCACCTGAAAGGACCCAGGAATCAGACTCCAGTGGCCCACCTGCCCACCCTCCCTTTTTTCAATGCTGTGTGAATCTCACACCATGAGGCCTTTTCTGACTGAAGACAAAGCTCGCTCTTGCCTCACTTTGTGTCTTGTGGGAATATGTTGTAAGTTCTGAAGTTTGTGAAGGGCTCAGTCATCTGCTCCTCATTCTTCCACTCCCAATTCATACATGAAGCCAAGCTCAAGGGCTACAGTGTCTTCTGGAAGGAGACAGCCAGCCTGATTCCTGGGAGGCCCCTCCTCCCCCGTGCTCCCAAGCCCAGGATCCATGCTCTGACCAGAGGAGGGCCTTAGAAAAATGGGGAGCAAGGAGAGGGTAACAAGGTGAACAGAGAGCACGACAAGTGAGTGGCACCTCCTGAGCAAGTGACCTGGGACTCAGTGACACTGGTGGCTACGGTGAAGACACCAAGATGCAAGAGGGGACGGTGGCACATGGACAAAGAAGGGGAGACTACCCCGTCCCCCACCAGAGGCCCTCCTAGAGCCTCAGTAGCATGAAAGGTTCTGCCAAAGGCACTTGGCCCTCCCCACCACCCCTCCTCAACTTGCCAAAAGCAAGGCCGCCGTGTTTAGCTGGGAGGCTGAAGAGGAAGTGCAACCTGTCAGTGACATCAAGGTCAGGCCCAAGAATCATCAGCACCCCAATCTTCACAAAAAACCCAAATTCTAGGAAAGCTGGATCATTAACATGCAGGTCAGGACACTGAAACCAAAGTAAAACAGATCTGCAAACAGAGACCAGAAGCCCAGGGGAGGGGCTCACAATGCCATCACAGAGGCGCCTCCCTGCAGGCCTTACCTTCTTTGTTGGACTACTGTCTGCAGCTTGAGAGGGGGCTCTGTTCAGCTGGGGGTGTATTTCAGCCTCAGATGCTTGTTCAGACTGTAGTGAAATATCACAGAGAAGATAAAAATGCAAAAACATGAACACCTAAATATATAATGGACAGCACTTAGAAAATGTCACTAAGTGGAAGCTGATTTAAACCAACTTGCAGCCAAGCATGGTCAAGTCTTTGGATCCTTGAGAAAACCTTCTCTAGACCCTGCCATTCCTTCCCATGTCCCCTTCCAGCATTGTTCAATCTCAGGAAAAGGAGTCATGGTAGTGTTGTCTATAACTAGACATAGGTATTGCTAAAAATGAATGTTTTACAAGCTCAAACTAAAAAAAAAATAATAATGCTTATCAAAAAAAAAAGGGCTGGGAAATGAACTAAAATTTTAACCCAAGCACTAACAAAAACAGTAACCATAATAAAAAAAAAACAACACTGAAACTTTAAAAAACATTAAATACCTAAGAAAAACACTCTAAGAGATATGACTCTTTACCTTAAAAATGTAGGGGTGAGAGAGCATGATGGAAGGAGTAAACAGAAGGGCTGAGGCTACTAAGTGGTACAGAATCAGTGAACAAAATGCACAAAGATTGGCGAGGACTGCCCCCAAAGCCCTTCAAGACCAAGCAGAAGCCAGAGAACCAAGGAGGAGAGCACAGGGAGACCAGGCACCATGTGCTGCTCCCTGTCTCCAGGAGGCCTGCTACATGCAGCTGCTATTAGCCATCAATGCGAAGTGTTAACATGCAAAGAAAAAACCCTCCGTATGAACTAATGTGACTTCTTCATTACAGTGACATCAGTCCTCTACCCACAAAGTAATATGCATCTGCAGCACAACAATCATCCTTAGTGTGTCCGTTCTGTCCCTAACCTGGCCTTCTCTAACTCCTTGCAGAGCCTGGCTTCTTCCTTCCTCTGCCTCTACTGAAACAGACAAGGGTACTAATGCTCCCCCATTTATTGGATTCTTGCTGCTGCTTCTAGTTTTCTCCCAAGCCTTCTGCCCAGCACAGTACCCCTGACTATCTTTTAAAAAACTCCTGTCCCTGACATCTGATGAACTGCAATCTCCTACTGGTAATCATTCTTTCTCTTTCCTGTTTTGACTCCTCTTATCCTTCAGATGTAGGATTTCTCAAGGTTCTGTCTTTGGTTCTCCCACCGTATTCCTCCTACCACCATTCATTCTTTTCCAGAGCAATCCCATCTGCTCCTACATATGCATTGCCCTAGCTAGAAACCTTGGTTCCCAACCACCTCTCCTCTTCAAACCCATTATGCAGGCACTCAACATGCTTAATTTCTCATTCCAAGTTTTGCTTATGGTCTTCTCCCTTCCATTGAGGATAACTGTATTGCTGCTGCTGTCAACACTTATCTGAAATACCAAACACTGTGTCACACAGTTCTCCAGGTGTTCTGCATAAATGAAAGCATTTCATCATCACAGCCCTAATAGTTACTACCCCCGTGCTATCGGTGAAGAAACTGAGGATCAAGAAGTTGAGGAACTCACCCAAGATCACACAAACAGCAGGGTCTGGACCCAGGCCTCAGGTTCCAATGGTGGGCTTGTGACCACTATGCTATACAGCCTCAGGTACTCTTGGGTCCAAGTGGTACTCATTCAAGAAATATTTATTGACCAGCTACTGCAGGCAGGCCCCGTGCTAGAGCTGGTATTCAAGATAAACAATACTTAGACCTTTCTTACAAGAAGCCTGAAGTCTAGTGGAAAAGGCAAAGAAATGATGGGGCAAACATGCTTCAGTGGAATTCAGACTTTGGTGAATAAGTATGGGGGCTCCAGGAACACCCAGGCCATGTGGGTCAGCAAAGACTTGGGTGAAGGTGATGTCACAGCTAAGACCTGAGTGATAAGCAGGGTGCAGCCACCTAGAGGGGCAGTGCATGGGGATGGTGAGAAAGGAAGCTCCAGTACCCACCAGCTTAGGACACCATGACAATTCAGAGGCCTATCCCCAAGGCAGGAACCATGAGAGAAGCAGATGTAAGGAGAGCTCACTTCCAGGCACAATGAGCTTGAAACACCCGGGCAAAAGCCGTTCAAAGCTATCTGGGAGCCATTCCTCGTCAAGAGTATGGGGAATGTAAGAGTTCACCCACCTCCCCTGGGGGTTCTGACAAATGATGTCATATTTCAACACCTGCAGGCCCAGGGGCACCTGGGTAGCACTGTCGGTTAAGTGCCCCACTCTTGATTTCGGCTCAGCTCATGATCTCAGGGTCCTGAGATCAAGCCCTGCAACTGGCTCCTTGCTGAGCATGGAGCCTGCTTGTGATTCTCTCTTTCTCTCTCTCTCCCTCTGCCCCTCCCCCCACTCTCACGTGTGCTCTCTCGAAAGAAAGAAAGAAAGAGAGAGAGAGAGAAAGAAAGAGAGAAAGAAAGAAAGAAAGAAAAAAGATCTACGGGCCCAATGTCAGCTTTATTAATGGCTCAGTGAGTGCCCAACAACCTCCCAAATGCAGGGCTTCCCGACCTGTGTGGAAGAACACAACTTGGACCTGATGCCCCTTCTTGCCTTCCATCCGCAAATCTATTGCTTGGAACACAAATGTTCTGGCCTCAAGTCTATGCATGCAGTCCTCTGCAGGACCACAGGTAGGCACTGACACATCCTGCCAGCCAGCCAGAGAGAAAGGGAGTGACGGGCCAGGCTCGCCTTTCACCTGCTCAGCTCCCCTCCATCATCAGGCAGAGAGAAGTGTTTACCCTAATGCTCCCTTTCCTGAGGAGACGAGCAGTCTCCCTCTTGTGGAAATACTGAGGGAAATGATAAATCAGATCCTCTTTTCAACAAAACTAAGGATTCCGAGCATAGCAAAAGTAATAGAAGGTCATTGTCATTGCCTCTGCTTTCTCTTAAACATCTCTAAAAACCCAAACGACAATAGAGTGGGAGTTGGGAAGGATGAAAAAGCAGTTGTGAAAAGTTTCTAACAATTTTTTCCATTTATAGGTTTACCTTCCTGAAATCGGATCTAAAGGCTGAAGTTTTCTAGTTCCACAACCAAGAATAAACAGCTCCTTAGCACTATGTCAGGTGGAATCTCACCACCAACCTCCTTGGGAGGAACATCAAGACCTCCCCTCCCCACTCCATGACTGATTCTAAATGGGTCCATCCATGGAACATTCAGAGGAGTAAAATCTTGTGAGGGGCCTGGAGCACAGGAATCACGAAGGTCCTGGAAAGGCAGAACTTCACCAGAGCCAGACATTATTTTAGGAAAAGAGATGAGGAAAGAAAATTAGCTTTGTGGTTAAAAAACAAACAAACAAAAACAACCAACAACTAAAGATGAGATTTAGAGATACAAAAGCCCCTCTTTTCAAGAAACTATTTCACTTTCCCTCAGGAAAATAGTGTAAGGCTTAGCAGCTGAAAAGCAGAACAAACTGGGGAGATTTCTTTGCTATTTCTTCAGACTTTTCTAAGGTAACAACTTGAAGAGAATGATAACCCATGAAACAGGGGAGCCTCAGCAGCTCCCTTTTTCCTCCATATATTAAAGTAGAGAACAACTATATCAATATGGACAATATGCCCTTGTCTGAAAGTTCTCATTGTCTGAACTGAAATCCAATGCCTGAATCCTGTGGATTACAATTACTAGTACAAATGGCAGTCCTTCCCTCACAGCTCAGGATGTAACACGGACCCAACCAGGATGTGGCAAGGCAGGAAAATGTACAATTAGCCAAGAGCTCATTGAAACTCCAGCTAAGGTTCCTTTTAAAAATATATATCTCATATTTTTAATATTAATACTTCCCAACCCACAAATAAATATAGTTTCATCCTAATTTTGCAAGGAAAATCCTGTATGAGTCACATGGACTTAGAGGGTGCTGCCACTCCAAATGTAGAGATCTGTTCTGGGATTTTGCCCACTCCCATGGTTGATGGGACAATATGGTCCCTGCTCAGCTAGCTCCCCAGAAATGGACACAGCCCTAGGAAGGCTAAGCATCTTGCTTCTCCACCCAAAGAAGGGTTTGTTCAGTTACTCAATTTTACAGATATTTATTTCACATATTTCATGTATCACTTTCCAAAAATCTTCATCTCATGTTCTGCTTCTGGGAACCACACCTGAGATACCAGGCAAACTGCTCCCAGAACAAGGGAGTTAAAGCACTCTAGTATTCTCCTCCTTGGTCTCTCTCTAGGATTACTTGCTCTGGAAAAAGTCAGATGCCATCTTGTGAGGACACTCAATCAGTCCTAACAAGCAGCCCATGTAGCAAGGAATTAAGGCATTCCACCAACAGCCATGTGGGAGAGCCACCTTAGAGGTGGATCCTCCAGCCCCAGTCAAGCCTTCAGATGACTGAAGCCTAATGAGAGACCCTGAGCTGAAACCACCAGATCAGTTTCTCCTAAATCTCTAAGTCACAGAAACTATGCGATAGTAAATGTCAGTTGTTCAAGGCCTCTAAAAACACCCACTCTAATAGGTCTGAAATTTGGGTTCTAGTAGGGCGTGGAATAAGGGTCAACAGTAGAGAAGAATAAGAGAGCCAGAGCTGGAGAAAGGCAGTGGAGTGGATCCTACATGGTCTTAGAGATCACTGTCCTAGATGGTCTATTTGCCACTCAGCACCATTCCCCACTTCCAGGCTCTTCCCTATGTTGCAGGGGGTAAAAGCCTGGGAAGAACATTTATAAAATCTCCTTTCAATAATATTCCCTGTTGACTCCGAGAGTCACTCACATGACACCAAGAAGATGAGAGAAACAAGCTGTGTTACTCTTCCTCAGGCAGTGGTGGGAAGAAAAGCATGGGATTCAGCAGTCAGAAAATCTTATAGTGGCCTCAGGCATTTCCCCACAAATCATTACTTAGATGCTGCAGGTAGCCTGAGGTCCTCCAGGTATTTCCTTTAGTTCTTGCAATGTCTTAACATTCAGAAACTTGTGGCAAACCTGACTGGTGGCCTTCCCTAGTCTTTGCTCCTCTAGCACAGCTACTCTTTAAGTATCTAATCCCTTAAATGAAATATCTTCCAGTG